CACACACTTTATCCATGTTTCTTATCAAAGCATGATTGGTTGTCATATCTCTTCATATCAAACTATGACGTGAAGAGGTTTGCTCAGCTCTGAGTAATCTTAGTGATGATATAGTGACTCACATTAGCAGTAAGTGAGGCTGTTGGGCCCTGACAAGTTGGTGGGTGTAATTCATCACATTTTCATGTTTGTTCATGCAGTGAAAATTAACATGAAGGCCTCGGTCTGTTTACCTGGACACTCAGACACCATAGTTCCCTTCTTGGGTGCTCACCAACTTCACTTCCTCCATCCTTCTCTGTTCCACCTGTCATCTCTCCCTCTCTTATGCTGTCTGACCTCCAGTACTGCCCTTAGGACACCTAACCTTTCTGGCATTTATCACAGTACACCTACAGTATACATTATAACAGGATAACTTCCTCCTTGTTAAATTGTAGTGTGGAACCAAATAAGATACCAATCACTGTCATACAGTGTGGATAAAATATTTCAGTCAATCCTGGTCCAGTGTGCAAGTTGTACAGTGTGCTGTATAAACCTGAGGCCAACAGTGCATTATAGACTGAGAATGGACTTATTGACTTCATATGAATTTTTATACGGAAATTATACTTATACTGTCCCAGGCAGTATAAATGTCTTAATACATGTCTGGAGGGGATCTTCAACATTGAAATCATTAGTAAGTAATGTGAGAGGGGTTGCTTGTATTGACGAGCCAACAGAGATTTTTTGTTGTCTTTCAGCTCAGTGTTTTGGTTTTACTGTTTTTGCTCATTTTCTCTGCTCTCATCAACCTCAAAATGCTGTTTTATTTATTTTTTGTGAGTTAAAACTTCTTTAAAGCTGTAGCATCCCTAATTATTCATTCTTTTTCATTATCTGAGCATGGCAGGGAGAGACAATTGACGCAGGAAGGACAATTAAGAAAACTTGGGATCCTAGTACCATTTTGCATCTTAACAATACAATAGGTGTTTGCTTTTTGTCCGTGGACCACCATTAAAAGTCCATTCTCAGTGTCTTTACTAAACACCTGCTTTATTGTACCAATACTTCACCCCTGTCTCCTTCATGTCCTATTTCCTAACTTTGCTCCCTCCTTTTCTTGCTCCACCCAACGCCCCTTTACAAACATATTTCCCCCCACCCCTCCCTCCCTCCTTTTCCCTCAGCTGGGTAAAGTCCCTGTCCCAAGGCCAAAACCTTCACCATTTCTCCACCTCCTCACCTGGACTCCTAGCCCATTCACTCAGAGGGTCTGGATGTAGGAAATCCTTCCCATGTGGCACTGCCACTCCTGCCATACAACTAGGACTATTACTACTGATTCATTCCCTGTGATTTTTACCTGGATGTGTGGATTAACTCTGGGATTACTCTTTATTTTTCCTTTAATTTTTTACCTGCATCTTTACCCTATACTCTTAATTTGGATCTGCATCCTGGGTCATTTGTAAAATGATGACCTGGTGGGCCCGGAGAGCATTTTTTTTTTTTTTTTTAGCAACATTGGATTTTAATCTGGATCTGGATGTAGACTTGGACCACATGTACACATGTTAAATTGAATAGGAGTTCTGCGAGGACTGCAAGACTGTTAGACATGTAATTTTTACTATATTACTTCAGTAATGTGACTTTTTTCCAGAGGGATTGAAATCATATTATTTTTTTTACATACATTATAAGGTGATTTAAAAAAATCTTTTTTTTTTTTAAACTTTTTATCTTTCACAGTTTAATGATGTGTCATTTCATTCATTCAATTTCTGTGGAGTTCTGTTCAAGCTGAAACTTGCACCTACATGTTGAAATTAGCGCTGTTACTCCCACGGTGACAGAGACAGACCTGTGCTTCTTAACAGCATTTTCTGCCATTAACTGAATTCTGCTTCATTATAGGAAGCTTATAAATGACAAACCCTTAATTTTGCTCACTTTTCAGGGCATTTCATACAAATAATATCTGTTTTTCATTTCACTGTGCTGCGTGGCGATCAGCAGTAATATCTGAACATCCAACATTCATCCCATTACACACCAAGTTGTCATTGTGCTGCAGTCGGGATAGCCTGGCAGATATAACATTGGGGCTAATTGCACCGTCCCCCTCCTTCAGTCCCCTGACTAATCTCAGGTCCTGGCCTGCCAACAACCCCCTCTGGTGACTGTGGCCCCAATCAAGTGGTCCATGTTACTGTCAGCTTGTTATCTGGCCTGTGGCCCCAGAGGCACTCAGACCCCACTGCCTCAACCTGCTGGTATAATCCACCCTGCTCTTTTCTCCGTGGCCTGCAGTGACTAAAATGAGATCCATGTCCCAAAAGGACATACAGTACACTATATGACCTTGTGGCACTCAAGGAAATAGTGTGGTGTCTCGATTATCCAGGGTAACCTCTGAAAAGAGATTAAATATTTTAAATACAGTTTTTCAATGCTTTCAGCAACACAAATGAGATCCCATTCACCTCCATTGAGTTGAGGACGAATCAGAGATTTCAGAGACAGATATCTTAAAGGACCAGCGTGAAGGATTTAGTGACATCTAGTGGTATAGCTGCAGATTGCATCCCCCTCGTCTCACCTTCCCCATAGAAGTATGTCGGAGAAATTACAGTGGCCATAAAGTGTAAAAAAAAATGCTAAAGTCCCTATCCAGAGCCAGTGTTTGGTTTGTGCCTTCTGGGCTACTGCATGGATGTATAAAGAAAACTGGATACCGTGTTGGAGGCAGGGCTCCATTCAATTCTATGAAAGCTGCTCAGTGGTGCATGAAGTCAAAGCCCCTTCCCGCTGTAAAGAAATTACCCAGATGAATACATACAGAGACTAGCACCAGAGACTTCCGCTGGCAGAGCCAGCTAACTTCCTGTTTAGCCCTCCTTTAACTTGAATGGAGATAAATAATTTAATCTTGCGAATTTTCTTGACTTTAAAAATGTTATCAGACTGAATAGATGAAACTCTGATAGTGAAACGTTCACCCGTTCAATGTAACCTTATGGGAAACCTTTTTTTTTTTCAATGTCAAATTAGCTTTAAAGCACGGTGCTCCTCCTGGTGACTAGAAACATGTTGGACAAAAGTGGTAGTTTTTCTGCCGCCTCGTTTTATTGATTTCAAGGGGAATCTGACCCAGTGGTCAGTCTTGTTTGTTTATGTAGGTCAAATAGAGGCATCAGTATTATAATGAGACTGCTTCATAACATGTTGTAAACTCCTTGTAGTACGTTTAATGTGATGAATTTTTCACTTAAGTTCTGTTTCTGATAGAAAGAATCTCTAAATGATGAGATGACACATAAAAAAACTCTTTTGTATGTGTTCCAAAACCCTGATTTACAAAATTCCCATTCTGTCAACACTGTCAGTTGTATCACACAGACAGTTTACACATACAGAGTGTAGAAAGCGGGATCCAGTACCAGGATGTAAATCTGTACATCCACTCAGAGAGGTGGATAAATCTGTCTGTGCCAGTGTGCCCCACAGAGCTGAATGTAATAACATAAATATCAGCCTGTCTCTCCTGCGATCACGGGCCCAGCCAGGTGGGGTGAGTGGGGGGGTGAGAGAGGGGGGCGACCAGGAGGTAATTTCATGAATGAAAGGGCAGAATTGTTCCTCTATTTCAACTGTTCCTGAGCACTGGCCAAACTCCGCCTGGCCTTTAATTAGAGCTATTAACCCAGGGAGAGAGAAGAAGGGAGCGCCAGAGGGGCTGATGGGAGGAGGGGTGAGGGGAGAGGAAGGCAAGAGGAAGATGAAAGAGAGTAAAAGAGACGGGCAGGTGGTGTTCAGCTCAGCTGTTGGTTCTTTCATTTTAACTTAGTGAATGTTCATCAGGTCTGAGCAAGATATTAGTCTGTGCAGTATGGGTTATAGTAAGTAGTAGTATGTAGTATCTAGTAGTGGAATTTGTAGCAGTGACACCATTCTTACTTCTTAGTTTCCTTCTTCCTCACTCATTATGGTCCTACTCTGTGGAATTCCCTACCAAATGAACTAAAGTCTGCTACAGCAGTGTCTTCGGTCAGAAATCACTGTTTCTTCATGTCCCTACAGTGTGCTGTTTGAATGCTGTCTGTGCAGAGTTTGAATCTAGAAGAATGTTTTCACATTCATCTGCTGAAAGTGGAAAGTTTCTCTGTGCTCAAAAAAGCTGATTTTAGGAGCGGGGCCTACCAGAATGATTTGTGACATCACAAA